ACCCATGAAGCAAATGCAAATAGAAGTGTTTGCTCAGGGCTGGCCACCTGCTTTCCTCAGGGTCCAGGTGGTGCCTGAACAACCACCTTCAAGGTCCCATCAGTGTCATCTACTCCGCAGCTAGGCTTCTAGGGGGAAGAACAGCTTCTAGGGGGAAGAACCAGCTTCATCAGGGGAAGAACAGAAGTACCTTGCTGTCTCCTCTTGTCCTTCCCTGCACTGTACATGGTCTCACGTGGACAGCTCAGGGATTCACTGGCTTTATACCTGTCAGTCTTCAGGGGGGATAACAATCAAGCAGTTAGAAGCCAGAGCTTGAAAGAGGCCTAGGCTGGCTCAGAACCTGTTTATGGTCTCAGAGCTCAGGGAAGGTAGATGGTGGGGGGACTGGGTAGAAGTAAGGAGGAAGACTCAGTCCACAGGGACTCCCCAGTACCCTAGGGCCTCAATCAGGAGACAGCCTTATTCTCCACGGTTCACAGAGTGGCACTGAAGCCTTGCTTTAGGAGGCACAGTCTCTGTCGCCCCTAAAATCTACACCCAGGGTTGTTACTGTGGGACGGGGGAAGGAAGAAGCAGACTCTGAGAAGTCTGTAAACTTTTAATCCCTTCCAGCCCAACCAGATTCAGTGCCTAAGAGAGCAGTACCAAGTCATAGCTTCTAGAGAGACCTGTGAACTTGACCTCTGAGTCAGTCACACTGACTCCACAGATTCCCTGGGACTGAAGCATCCCCATACTACAGAACACAGAGAATAGCCCTTGCAGACCCTGGAAGAAAGAAGGTCCCCCATGCCAGCATCTCACCTGTGGTTCCACCCCTCATTCTCATGCCAACTTTGCCTTGCTGCCTGTTGTAGACCTCTATGTGAAATCTCTCTCTCTCTCTCTCTCTCTCTCTCACACACACACACACACACACACACACTATTTACTTTACATTTCTCTTCATGAGAAGCAACAACATATCAACTCAAGGGGCCCTTCTGCTGGTCTCCCCAAATGCATCCACAGCAGTAGAAAAGCCCTGAGCACAGTGTACTTCCTCTTTGGGGGGAATTCATCTGCTGATCATTGTTACATTATTGTTACTATTAAGTCACTTGCACAAGAAAACAATTGTGGAAATGAGAAAGAGGAGGAGAGCACAGCAGAAATGGAAAAGAAGGAGGCCTAAACTGAGATCTTCAGACTGATAGGACCTGGAGGGAAGGAAAGTACAGCCCCGGCACCAGGAGGAATCCTCCTCCATCCCCTCAGGAACGGGAATTCTACAGTGCAAGCATGGCCACTTGCCCAAGGATGGAAGGAAGTGCCACATGAGGGGAGAGGTGGATTGCCTCTTCAACTCTGCCCTTGCTTCCTGGGTACCAATTGGGTGCTTTCTTCTCCCAGTCTGTCCCCAGTCTTCTACACCCCTAAAGCCTAGTCCTCTTGTCCTTCTATCCCTCTCCTCAGCATAGCAGCTCTATCAGATGCTTGGTGCCCAGGCAGATGAGGGGTACAAGGACCACATTCTGGGTATCCTGGCCACATGGCTGTACCACATTAGTATATAGATATTTTCCTGTCATGCCCAAAGCACATATTGTCTTTCTCTGGGCTGGCTCTTATAGGACCATGCCTGGTACTGATTCCCAGTTAAACAGACCCTGACATCAAAGAAAGCAATACCCCTTTAAGAACTCTGCTGAGATCCAGAGGGGGCCCTGCTTAGGTGTGTGAGCACAGTGTCACATGTCACACTGAGATCTGGGCCAGGCTGTCTCCAGGGTACCCAGAGCCCTGAAGAGTGGGTGATTAGGTGCAGAGTCACTTCTTCTCCTAGGACCCCTCCTCAGCTCCACCCTGGTACCCACCACCAATGGCCTGAGAAAGGGCTTGCTGAAAGGTAGAGGACTAGGGGTGGAAGAATCCCTCTGTGCTCTCCATGGGCTCCAGAGTCCATAGACTGGGGCACCCTCAGTTTCCTCATCTGTGAAATGGGAAAATAAAACCAAAGCCTTTGTAGGGTGTCAGGAAAATAAAGTGAGCTAATAAACTGGCAGTATGATGACAAGGACCAGCATGCTGTGAGCCCCCAATAGAGAGTCTGTTGCTGGCATCATCCTTCCCCAGTGAAGGCAAGAGGACCTAGAGGGTCCTCTATTAAGCTGCAGAGAAAGGAAGGCCCCAGGGGAAGTGGTGGCTTCCGGGCCTCCCATCCCTTTGGCACCCCGGGCTCCCATTTCAACAGATACCATAATTTAAATTAGTTTTCTCCTCCCCTGGCTAAAAGGCCATTAGCGCCCCATTACGTGAATGCTTCCCATTTTCTTCACACCACCAAGGAAACAGTGATTTACTTAGCTAGTCCCTAAAGCAATTCTACAGAATAAAGGCAATTTAGTGAATGGACTCAATAAACTTTCCCATTTGCTATCTGCTTTCAGGCTCCGCCCTCATGAACCCACCAGCTGGCCTAGTCCAGAGTGAGGGGTGCAGGCAGCTCCTTGAGACCAGAGGGGCTCAGTGGCTGGGATGGGGGAGGTAGGTCATGGCTCAGATAAACCCAGTAAGGCAGGACAAGTCTTCATTGGCCAAAGACAGGGGAGGATGTAAAGGAAAAAATGAAATAAAGCTGTGTCCCTGGGTGCTTACTCTGAAGGATCCAAGAAGTCAGGAAGATGAGGGGCAAGACACTTGCTGAGAAGCTGTGGGAGGGCAGAAGTGGGTTAGCTTGGGACATGCAGAGGGAGCCCCAGATGCCAGGACTCATGTCCTTTTCCATGCAATGGATGGAGCTGTAGCTGTGCTGAGCATTGAAAAGCCCAAAACTTCAAATAACTTTTAGAGGGAGGTTCCTCAACTCTAGTTCCAGGAAAACTGGGGATGATGGGTAGTGTCCAAGTATATGAGGGGTTTAGGGGTGTGTGTCTTTAGGTGTACATATGAGATCCTAGTACATAAGAGTAGGTAGAGAGGGGCTGGGTCTCCAGGGGTACCTGCTTGAGGGTGGGGGTGTAAGGAGCAAGTCCACAATGTGTGAGAGTACATGTCTACAAATCTCATGAGCATGTCTTCCTTAGAAAGGGTGCAGTGTGACTTGGTGATGACCATAAGTGAGTGTGAATGTAAGCTAAGGAAGGCCCATCACCTCTAAAGACCCAGCCCATTTCCTGAGCAACCGGCAGGGCCATTAGACCATTGCTTCCACAAGAGGGCGATGGAGGCCAAGCTGCTCCCCATCTGTGTGTGCCCAGTGAGCCCCGGGGGCTCCCTAGTAGCAGCCTAGAGCAGCTCCAAGAGAGCAAAGCTCCACAGCCCCACAGCTGCTGCTTCTGATTAAGAGCCCTTGAAGACCTCTCCAAAGGATCCAATTGTCTCCTCTTGGATGCAGGGCTGCCATTCCACCCCCAGTGCTGCTAATCCTGGTTTCTTGATCATCCCAGGGGAGGTGGTAGGTGACAGGGACTTATGTTCCTTGGATTGGGGAGGATGACTGTGATTACCTAGCTCAAGTGTCAGGTTTCTTGGCACAGAAGGCTACCTGCCATCCCACAAGTGCCACAGGCCAGACCCACCCCACCCCTGCCTGGTCCCTAAGGACTTGGTAGACACCCAGCTAAGGCTGGAAGGGCATGGGGAGGTTGCCCAGCACATGAGCTTCCCACAACTAACCACACACCCACATTGCAAAATTGCAACCCAAAGTCACAGGATAGCTTTAGAACTCGGGTGTTAACTTTTGTGTTTACTTTTGTCCTGTGCACAGCCTCCTGCCTGCCTCCCCCTTGCTGACTGTGACCCCACAGTCCCAAACCTAGAAACAGACTCCCCATTTCCATTCTTCCCCAATGAAAGGAACGGGCTTCTCCCCTGCCTTCTCTTTCTACCATGCACCCATTCTGCCCCAGTCTCTGTTGTGCTGAGGAACCAGAACCACAAATGAAACCTTGGGAAGGTCTGTGAATATAAAGTCTGTGAAGGACCTGAGGATAGAGGCAGGGTGACTGGACTTCGGTTTCCAAAGCCTCCTTTTGTAAGGAGTGGGGGAGGGTAGCCGGGGCTCTTTCCCTCTCCTAGGAAAACTTGATGCTTGGTGCCTATGTTAAGTACTCTAGGAAAGGGTCAAGTTAGGACGAGTTTGAGGGACTCTAAAATGTGCAGCCAAGACAGTCGGTCAATAGTTCTTCAGCCTTGTTGTTCATTATGTCTGAGGTTGGCAGTGGGGGCAGTGACCAACATTTCCAAGGCCACACCTAATACTGGGATCCTACAGCGCATATACCACAAGATGGTCGGAAGCGCTCTGAGCCGTCCTATAGCTCAAAAACCGCCCCTCTAGGTAAGTCTAGGCCAGCGGTACAGGAGTCTGTTGGTTGCCGGGTAGGGCTAGGGCCACCGAGGGCCCTCAGGGGGAAGACAACCCAGAAACCATAGGCTTTTAGGATTTTAAAGACGCGGGCAACAAAAATACAAGAGAAAAGCAATCTTCTATGAAAGAGCCTCTGCTCCACTCGGCCAGCTGGGACAACAGAGCTGGAGGAGAATGCACGGAAGTGAAGCGCGAAAAGAAAACCAGGACACAGTGATCTTCTGCAGAAATAGAACTCCCTGCGCAGGTCGCAGGCATCTTGTGGCTACCTGACCCATTAGCTCCTGTCTGTGCCCAAAATGCCTGAATGGTCCGTCCGCTTTGCTCCAAGACGTAGCTGCGGCTGGAGGCAAAACCAGCCTAAGACGCACGGCTGCTGCTTGGGCTCTGGACACCGACCCCTCGCCGACCCGCCCGCGTCCCGCTCTCCCCGCCAAGACCCGCCCAGCACTGAGCCCGCGGCGCTCTGCCCGCCTCCGGCCATCGCCACCTCACTCCCAGTTGAGGCCGACCGACCAGCCACCGTGCAACCTGCTGCCCATTGCCCGCCGCCAACAAACGCGGTTCTGAAAGCGTCCCCTCCGCCGCTCAGCGCTCAGCGCTAACTTCAGCCCAGCCGCCGAGGACGCCAGCCAGGACTCACCTTCGCCTAGCAGCGGCAGCAGCAGCAACAGCCGCAGCCCCGCGGCGCCGGACGTCGCCTTCGCCATCGCCGGTGCGCTCAGGGGCCGCGACTGGAGAGTGGCGGGTCTTGGCGGTGAGATGCGGCGCTCAACCCGGCCGCCCCATGCCAGCCCGTGAAGCAGCGGGCACAGTGGACACTGCGGGCGCGGTGCGTCGGGGCGGGACCCTGGGCGCGGACTCCGGGGCGCTCTAGGCTGCTGCGCTCTGGGCTCCGCTCCCAGGACTGAGGCAAGGCTGTCGCGGGCTGAGCCCAAGCAGCGGGCAGGGGCGGGGCGGCGCGCGGGTGGGGGGGGGGAGCGGGCCGGGCGGGGCCAGGGTGCGGGTTAGGGGCGGGGCTCCGGGTATAGTTGGGGTCAGTGCGGGGTGCAGGCGGGGCACCGGTAGGAGTCGGATATGGGACGTGCTGTGCAGCCCTGGCCCGGCGCCTGGGAGAACCGGGTGCTTGCGGAATGGGGTGCGGTGCGGGTCGGCTATCCGTCGCCTGGATCCACGAACATGCACACATACATCCACTTTCTCATCCTGTCTGCCTGCTTGTGGTCCTTGAGTTTCGCCGTTTCTGGCCGCCCAGAGAAGGCAGAGAAGCCACGTGGGAATGCAGGGTCTGGCTGACTGGCTGCCGGTGCGCCCAAACAGTCTTAGAGCTTAGGCCAGAGCCCTTCTCACAGGCTCCGGGCTTGGAGCGCATCCTCCGCCATTTCTCAGAGGAGGGATGAGCGGTGCGAGCTTGGCCTCTTCTGGGGCCAGATGCATAAGGAGTGGAGGAAACCGGGAGAGAAAGGAGGGCGGGAGAGTAGTCTTCTAGTTTACAATATCTTCTGGTGGAAAGAGTGGGGGTCCCCTAGGTCTAGTTTGTGAACCCTAGGTCTGATCTAACCAATGGGACCAGGAAACTGCCTCAGGCACACCTTTCAAAGAGATCTGACACTGGTAGCCTAATGGGATGCTTGGTGGGTGCCCTGCCCTCCTCTAAATAGAACAACTCTGAGGATGTAGGACAGACAGAGTAGGAAAGTGGGTAGCAGGATCCCAGAATTGAGTTCCCCTCCTCAATGAAATGTTGCCCATAGATTTACAGAGGAAGCCTCTGTACCCTAAATGGAAGGTCTTGGAGTGAGGTTGTATGTGGATTTGGGGCCTCTAGGGAAGGTCCATCATTCTCACCCAACCTGCACCTTCTTTTTGAGGTCTGGCCTCCACCTAGGTGCAGAGGGATAGAGGAATGGAAGCCAATGGGGCCTTGCGGTGTGCAAGTCCAGAACCCTGGGCCAAGGGTGCCCCTGAACAAGCTGTCTTCTGCTGTATGCAGAGCCCCACCCTCATCCCTGGCTGAGCTCAGGGCTGAATAAGCGATCTGCATATCACTCTGCAGATATGAAGTCAAAGTGAAGTCACTCTGGCAGGCAGAAGGAGGAGCTGCCAAGACAGAGGCTGACTTGGGGCTGGGCCAAGATATCCACAGTCTGCCTGCTGATGGGTGGGCTACCACTTCACAGGTCTGCCAGCCCAGGAGAGCTACCTTGCAGACACTGGGCCTTATTCTATTTGCCATATACCTCTAGGGCTCTAGGCCTTTAGACTTATGGAGCTAGAGTTGTACACAGGAAGTTCTCTAGGATGCCGACGGTTCTCATCTCTGGAGCTATTGGCTACCAGGGCTGTACACTGAGGCCTGTGACCAGGAAAGTGCTGGGGTGCTCTCTACAACTGGCTTTCTGTGGCTGCCTCCTAGGAGAATGCAGAGTGAAGTGGGTGGCTTGACCCACCTGCTTATAGCCTCACTTCCACACCTCCCCAGAGGTTGGTTAGTTGGTTCTGTGACTGTCTCAAGGACTTGCCTGGCCTCCCTCAGGTCTTCACCCTCTCCCTACCCTCACTCTTGGGGGTCCTGAATGAACACATGACATCATAGTGGGACTGTTGCCCTCTCCTTTAAAAAGATCTGGGAAGGGGAGAGACTTCCATATGAGCCCTTGGGCACATATGCATTTGGGGCATACCTTTCCCCACAGGCTTGTCCAGGGGCCTTGACCAGAGAGGGAATCATCCAGTAGAGGGCAGACAGGAAACTCTGGGTCTCCTGATCTTAGAGACCTTAGGGAGAGGGTGACTCAGTCCTCACTGGACCTAGGGCATTCATTCAAGGTCTAGAAACTCAGGGCAGCAGGAGGGAGCTGCTTAACAGAGAAGAAATGGATGCAATGCCCTGTGGTCCAACGATGGGAGGTAGAGGCTGTGCTAATGTAGAATCCAAAGGTCCCAACCTGTGATTATCTAGGAAGCCCCATCTCTTGCTCCCTTTCATCTTGGGGGAAAGAGAGGTCTGCAAGAGGCTTCAATTCCCTTTCTTGATGCCTTGTAATCAACTTTCTCTGAGTCTCAGTTTCCTCTAGTAAACATATCTCTGTCAGAGGGAGGAGTGAAGATAAAAAGGGGGAGTCCATGTGAGGGTGAAGCCCTATGCTAGCACACGGTAAATGCTCAGAAGATCATAGCCATTGTTTTGCCCAGGCCTCCCTGGTACTTGGCTTTGGCGTCCTTGCCCCAACCCTCTGTTCTAGGAGCTAGACGAAGGCACACCACAATGTGGTAGGTACTAGGCTCTACCCACAGGGCAACTTTTATAAGTATGTAGATTCCTATGTATACGCCTCCATAAAAATCCATTTTTTTAAATTTGTGCATGCTGTTAGGAATTGAACTCAGGGCTTCACACATTCTAGGAAGTGGCCACCTCCCAGCCATATACTCCAGCCCAAATCTACATTTTTAAAAAAAAGTTTCTTAAGAGGTTCTGATGCAGATTTTTGCTTTGGTGTGATCAGACCTATTTGGACTTGCCCTTAAAATGGGTAACTTTGCACAAGTTGCTTAACCTCTCTGAGCCTCAGTCTTATCAATTTCCTAATGGGGGCTAAGCTAGTATTTCCCCTCTGGTGGCTCCGATGAGTCAGTGGGTGGGCAGTTCACATGGTCTTCCCACAGCCAGAGGGAATGTGAGGTTCATTCATGGCTTTTGAGCAGGTGAGGTGCATCTGGAGCTCGCAGGCCTGACTCCCAAACAGCACTGGCCAGGGAGCAGGAAGTCAGGCTTAGTGTGGACAAAGATGCCCTGATGGGGAGGAGCTGCTGCTGGGGTGGGAGACAGAGCAGGATGTTATGGGACCATGGACCAGGTAGGCATAGGGGGTTCCAGAGGCATAAAGAAGGCCAAGCACAGTGACAGAAAATGCCAACCCTAGTGATCTTATAAAGGGGAGGAAACAAATCCAAGAGTTGACGCAGCCATGGAGGCACTGGAATGCTAGGGGTATTCCTAGAACTTCTGACCAAGCCCTCTCAGAGTGGGCATAGGCAGGGGTCTAAGTCTCCTGCAGGCAGTGTGACATAGTGGTTAGAAGCACAGACTCTGAGGCTGACCATGAACACTGTTAATGAATTGCTGATTAACCCAGTCCCCCACTTTTGCCTACCACTGCACTCTACAATCTCATGGGGTGTCAAGGTAGGGGGCAAGTCTATTGCTCCCCCATGGTTTGCCTTCCTGGCCCTGCTATTGATGCCCTTCAAGGACAGCAGCAAGAAGAAAGCCATTGCCTGTAATTTGGCTTTGAGTTTACCCCAGCAGGGGGTCCTTGGCCAAGCCACCCTCCTTTTCACATAATCTATCCCCATTAACAAACAGACAGTACACTAGGTTTGGGCTTACCGGTGTGACTGACTCTGTGGAGGTTCCACCAGCCTTCCTGTCTCAGGTGCCCATGGGGAGCATTTGCAGACAGGGCCTGAGCCTGGCCTATAAAAAAAAAACCTTCCTTGCACCCTTTCTGGGGCCTGACATGGGTTGGATGCCCGAGGCCTTAGGCTCTGGGTCCTGAACAAAGGCAACAGGGTGTTCCTGTCCATCAGTGGGCCTGTGGGTCTAGACAGAGTCCACCTCCATCCAGCTGATCTGTCCTTATCTCTTTGCCTGGTTTACCCTTCCATGAACCCCTTCTGTACTGGGGTTACTCTTTTAAATTTCTTCTACTTTCCCTTCTCCTTCTTTCCTTTCCTCCTTCCTGCTTCTCCTAAAAGAATATTGTTTCATTTCTTTCACCCAGCACAAGAACCAGGCTGGCTACGTCATTCAGCAGCTTCTATAGGACTTTCTGGGCTGCAGTTTCTTCATCTGTAACATGGGAATAACAATGCGGTAATTGCCAAGTAGTATTGTTTTGAGGATAAAATCCAATGATGTATGGATGGACTCATAGACACTGCATGTGTGAGCACATTGAGAATTTTTTTTTTATCATTCCTCTCCCAGGATTTTCTCATATCTAGGAACCTGGGGGGTGGGTAGGCTTGGGGCAGGAGTATGGTGTGAAACTTGCAGGTGGCTCTGAATTGTGACCTTGGCAGGGCTCAGTTGGCTAGTCCAGCCATAGGGTCTCAGGGCCTCAGTGGGAAAGTACAATTCCTTCTTCCCAGGTTGTCTAAGGATCAAGCCTTTCCATCTGCACAGAACCCTCAGACAGGGCCCCTTGGCATATAAGCCATACTTTTATTATAATTTATTTCTACCAGCTATAGAAGCTGAAATCATAAGGCCACAGAAGTCAGTGTATATTGTTAAGGCAGCACAGAAAATCAGGTGGCTTCTAAACCCAAACTGCTTTCCTCTCCTCTGGCCTTCCCACCTGCACATGTAACAACTCATACCTCTATGCCAAACATAAGCCTGGCCTGCCCAAACCAAAGGCTTGGTCACAGGCTTCCAGCCCTCCCCATTTAGCCCATGGTCTTCTCAGGACTGGAAGGAGAGACAGCTTCAGAATCCAAGAGCCCACTTTGCTGCAGGGGTTACTTAGCTAACTTTGTAATTATACAGTCAGAAGTGGTAGGTTGATTCATGCCTGCACCACCCAGGCTCCTGGAGACTGCTCACACAGTGTCCCAACCCAGAGGCACAGCTGACCTACGTAGAGTGAAATGGGACCTCAAGCCTGACAGTGCCTAAGTCATCATCATCTGGAGCCATGGA